TTTTTTTTTTTTAAAGAGGAATTTGACGTAAGAGTATAGTTTCTTAGTATTTATATAAAAGGAAAAAAACAAAAACAAAAAAGGAGGAAAACAATTGCAGATTATTAAATTAAGTTATAGAGGCCTGTTGACTTCAAAAAACAACTATCATTATTCTGATATTTTATTCTCGTCTATAGTTAATGAATATCTTAACATGTTGTATGAGTTAATTTTATTATCTCATGTATCGTGCCAACATTAAATAATTCAAATAAAARGTAACTTCATACAAAAAAACTGTATATTCGTTAATATATACSTTAATATAAACTAACTTGAATTATTTAATGTTGGCACAATACATAAGATAATAAAATTAACTCATACAACATAAGATATTCATTGACTATAGACGAGAATAAAATATTAGAATAATGATAGTTTTTTGAATTCAACAGGCCTCTATAACTTAATTTAATAATTTGCATTTGTTTTCCGCCTTTTTTTGTTTTTTAATTGATTCAAATTATTCTTTTAATTAACCTAGCTAATTTAACCTTATTTTTAACTATATTAATTTCATGATTAATGAAAGTTTTGACGATCGTAATATTATAAGGTAGTAAACAACATAAAAGAAGAGATAATATTTATGTAAGCCTTGTGTACCTACTATGCCTATATAGTGTATATACAGAGGTAGGTACATTCAAGTCATCAACCTAATAATTATGGACCAAGAGTATAAAGAGTGAGACTGAGATCTTTCTTGGCCATGGTCAAATCTATGTGTCAGAGATACGCTTTGTATCTAGGTAGGAAACAAAAAAGAGGCAAAAAGAAGGTAAAAGCCTTTTAGGAATACTATTTCATGGTTCATCAAAAAATKTACWCATTTATAATTCGTTTTTTATTTCTTAGAATAAACAATACTAACATTTTCAAGACTCATAACAGTACTTATTAATTTTTTTTATAGCCTTATCTGCGTGCCATGCATTTATATTTAACTATTTTTTTCGCAAAAACAAAAAACATTGAAATTTTTTAATAAAAATAATAATGTTTATTTATCTATTATTAATTATATAGTCAATGAATTATAGATTTAATCATTGATATTAATGCAATGAGTGCCGTAGTTAACATATTACAATATATTMGATTTTTTTCTACCMTTTACAGCAGAACTTGGTTTTTTCCCCAGAAAATGACTTATTGTCGACAATTATGCAATGGTGGTACTATTTATGTAAATTATAGTTAGAAAAAAAAATACTGAAATATTTCACAATTTTTAATTTTATGAAATTATCTAATATTATTTGGTAGGCGCCTATTTCAATCGAAATTATATTAAATTTTAATTACATTAAATGTATCATAATAGGT